ACCAGAGCAGCAGAACCAGGACGAAAGTCCCTTCCCTACTGCAGTGGCTCTCTGGTACTCTCTGCTGACAAAGCTTAACATGGTGCCAGATGGTAAAGAAAAATGCTTACAGGGATCAGATCTGTTTTTGCAGAGCAGGCAGTAAAGGGTGAATTTGGAGCTCAGAGGCAATAAATTGATACCTGGCACACTCTAGAAGAATGGCTTTTAAACGCTGGCGTACCTAAGCAGTGCTTGGGCGTTCTTGTGAAAACTTCAGCATCTTGGGACCGCCACGTTTTGGGTCCGGGGATCTAAGATTTGCCCTGGAATTTGTAGTTTGCACAGGAGCTCCAGGTAATTTTGCTGGGTGATCTGCCATCAATACCATCAATCTTCACTTGGGTAATCGCAATCGTCTCTTAACTGGTCTCCCTGATTGCCTTCTTATTCTCGAATCATCTATTTTTCACACAGCAGCCAAGTGATCTTAGGAAAATATGAGTTAGAATATGTCACTCAGCTGTTCAAAAACCTGCTGTGTCCTCATCTCACTAGAGAAAAAGCTCAGGTCCCCAGAGGGACTCGCCACCTCTCTCCTTCTACTCTCCCCCGTTCACCCCCCCAGGCCACACCAGCTTTCTTCGGCTTTCTTGAACCTCCAACGTGCCAGGCACACGCCAGCCTCAGGGCTTGCCGCCTTGCAGTTCCTTCTTCCCGGTGGGCTCTCCTTCCAGATTTCTGCAAAGCCCACACTCTCACGCCTTCGAGTCTTTGCTCACATGACACCTTTTCAACAAACTCTTTTCCGACTACCAACTTTAAAATTCTACACCCCTTTCCACCCCTCCCCACGAGTCCCTCCCTCTCTCCCTTCTCTGGTTGTTTTTCTCCGTAGCGCTCACACCATCTAACTAGTCATATGTTCTCCTTACTGATTTTGTTCGTTTTCAGTCTTGTCCAGCTAGAATGTAAACCCCACGAGGAAAAGAATCGTTATCTGTTTTGCTCGCCGCTGCCTTCTCCCGGGCCTTGAATGGTGACTTGATAGGTATTCAGTGAATACTTGTTGAATGAACGAATGCAGCCTACGCTTTGAGAAACTTCTCTGTGGAATATATCGATTGTGAAGGCATCGTGCTGTCGGGAAGCCAAGGTCCACACAGTTCTCAGACATTTCAAAAGCTTCATAGATGTAAACACTAGCACGGGCCTTTTAAAGGAGTTGCCCTTCATGAAAAAAAACCTTCTAGAGCAGTGTGGATGCAGAGAAGAAGGGGACACTCCTGTGCCTATTCAGAGGGGTGGAAAAGTGGCCCGTTCATTGAGAAAGCATGTGGAGTTTTAGAGAGAAAAATATCGTAATTGCTCAAAATGACTATTTTTGAGAAAAGCCTGTGTTTTCCCTCATGTTGCTTAGGAAAAATTTCTAGAGGCCTTTGGATTGAGCAGACAGGACTCCAGAA